AAAGCTTCTACTGTATTTAACTGATTCATGACATTCATGTTACAATCAAAAGCAGCTTAAAAACCTAAAATTAATGAAATCCAATCTACTACAGGTTTGTATTATTTTTCTTTTACCTTTATACCAGTTCTCTCAAAACTTTTCTTATTTATCTTTTACATACTATTCCTCTTCCAGGCTTCGTTTCAATTGGGTAAATCTTTGGGGGACATGAAGGGGCAATTCTCAATACAGCTTTCTCAAAAAGCCACACACACACGGAAAAAAACCCCAACAGCATTCAAACAAACAGTGATAAAAAAAAACCCCAACAAATAAAAACCAGCTAAATGGTTCTGTGATGTAATGGCACAATCCCAAAGAATCTGACAATTTTTTTCCCCAATCTATTTAATAATTACCTTTGTATTTGAAGCTCTTGAGGAGCTATTATCTCAGTTAACACTTGCACAACTACACCAAGACACAGAATACTAAATGATGATATGGAAAGGTGCACAAGGAATCAGTAACTTTTATTTTTTAAGCACAAGGAACTATCCATACAGAGTCTTACAGACAGGTAGATATAGGGCTAGGACAAGGTTTTTCCACTCTAATGCCCCAGTCACCTAGTCTAAGTCATTCAATCCCATCCTACAGCTATTTCTTTTCTCTCATGTTACTTCCATATCTAAAGAGGAATTATTTTACATGATTTTCCTCAGAATGTTAATCTAATTCTTCTAAAAAATACTTAATTATATGAGTGCATTTTTTTAAAAACAAGATTTCAGTAACAGTATATCATTAAATGTCTACCTTTTATCACAGATGTAGTTTGAGAATATAGTGTGTTATGCCTACTGTTGATAATAGTACCTGATGAGAAACACTCAAATTCTGCAGAACTCAGTAACACAAAGTCTGTCTTAAGAAATTAATTCTACTTCAGCTTGAATTCTGCAGAAACAGAAGAAAGCTGTGAAAGGGAAGCTTGAATTATAAATGAATCATCTACTCATTATCAACTCACCATATAGTATTTTTCCCCTAAATCTCTCTCCATAGACACCTCACCTCATGAAGTTACCTCCTTGGTATACTACATGCAAAAAACTTAAATGTCTAGCCTTGTACAGGTCATTTTCAAACCATAAACTGAATATTATCACCTTGAGAAAAAGTTTAATTCAGTCTCAGTACTCATTCAGACGTCTCTCCTCAAAGTGCTGATACATAATGTAGAATGCTATAAAGAGCTGCTTTGCCATGTTACAGGTATGAACAAATTAGGTCATATCCAATATAACATATTCTGCTTGTAAACATCCCGTTTCAGTCCTACGATTCACTCTCATCACAACATTGCCAAAATTTTACCCTTATACTACCTAACAAATATGGTACAGTCTCATGCTTGCACCCAGTCCTGCATTTGAATATAATGACTTTGACTAAAACTTTTTTTCTTTTAAAAAAAATGCATTTAAACCTACTGCTGGAAAGTGCCGCTCCCTAACTCATATCTAACCTACATTTGAACTGACTGCCTACCAGTAAAGCCTTACAAGCTGTTTTGATCTGCAAGTTGCTTCCCTGTTTTCATTATTACGCAGAATGCAACAGAACTACAAATACCACAGACACTATCTCATCCTACAGCCAAGCTCATTTGAAGATTTTACTTCATTCAGAGTCCTCATATGAAGAGTCTGGCTGCTAGGGAGACAGTCAAATCACTTCTTTGAAACCAACAGATGTACCTACGTTGTCTCAAAGACAAAAATTACTCAGGTTATTTTGAAATGGATGAGTCTCTAATTTCAAACAGAGAAGATACAGTAAAAATTACTGTGGATGCAATAAAGAACTCTGTCATCATAAAACGTATGGAGAACATGGAAAATAACAATTAAAAAAACCCTACATCACTGTGTCTGCTGTGCATACCCAGGCAGCATTAAGGACGGGTTGGGTGCCAAGAAGTTGCAGTTACAGTCCCGCCGTACTGAAATGAGCACTTCATGTAATTTCTCAGGACAAGTTACTTCAGTCAATGGCCATGAACCAAGTTCCATTCACTTTGGTAACAGAATTTGATAAAAATTGGGGGTTTAGATCTGTTTGTACAGAAAGCTTGTCGGGGTGGGTAGATGGGTGGAAGAAGTCAGGCAAGAGATGGAGGAGGAAATACTGAATTCAGTGTGTGCTTGCTTTGACCTTTTGAACCGTCATCTTAAAGTGAGAATCTTCAAGAGCCACTGGCTTCAACTCTTACACAGTCTGTGTCAAGAGAACCACAATGTAATTCCAAGTAAACAGTTACAGGCAGACAGTAAAACTAAGCAAGCACTGAAAGAGCAACCTCCAGGTTTTTATGGTTTTGTACATGAGGTAGAGGAGAATTAAAGTGCAGACACTATACCAAAACGTCCTTTCACAGGAGTTGGAGATACGAACACCTCAGTTAGCGAAAACCGGCCATTATACGGCAATTTCTTCAGCTCTCGGTGTTAAACGCGCCAGGCTTTGTCCGACATCCTGCTCCAACAGCCACGCTGCCGGGGCGGCATCGGCGTCTCCAGGCCGAGAGCACCTCGGCACCGGCAGCGCGGGGAGCAAACGTCCCTCACCTCCTCGGAAAAGGGGGTCCCCCCTCGGCCCAGGGGCACCCCCGTCGGCGCGACGGCCTCTGCCAAGCAGGCGGGCACCGGCTTCACCCGCTGCAATTCGATCTTTGTTCTACATTGCGCTCGGGCTCAACGCAAGCGGAAACGCAGGTGCAAGGCGCAGGGCTGAAGCCTCTCCCTGCCCCGCTGCCAGCCCGGGGGGAGCGGGGCGCTGCCTCTCCCTGCCCCGCTGCCAGCCCGGGGGGAGCGGGGCGCTGCCTCTCCCTGCCCCGCTGCCAGCCCGGGGGGAGCGGGGCGCTGCCTCTCCCTGCCCCGCTGCCAGCCCGGGGGGAGCGGGGCGCTGCCTCTCCCTGCCCCGCTGCCAGCCCGGGGGGAGCGGGGCGCTGCCTCTCCCTGCCCCGCTGCCAGCCCGGGGGGAGCGGGGCGCTGCCTCTCCCTGCCCCGCTGCCAGCCCGGGGGGAGCGGGGCGCTGCCTCTCCCTGCCCCGCTGCCAGCCCGGGGGGAGCGGGGCGCTGCCTCTCCCTGCCCCGCTGCCAGCCCGGGGGGAGCGGGGCGCTGCCTCTCCCTGCCCCGCTGCCAGCCCGGGGGGAGCGGGGCGCTGCCTCTCCCTGCCCCGCTGCCAGCCCGGGGGGAGCGGGGCGCTGCCTCTCCCTGCCCCGCTGCCAGCCCGGGGGGAGCGGGGCGCTGCCTCTCCCTGCCCCGCTGCCAGCCCGGGGGGAGCGGGGCGCTGCCTCTCCCTGCCCCGCTGCCAGCCCGGGGGGAGCGGGGCGCTGCCTCTCCCTGCCCCGCTGCCAGCCCGGGGGGAGCGGGGCGCTGCCTCTCCCTGCCCCGCTGCCAGCCCGGGGGGAGCGGGGCGCTGCCTCTCCCTGCCCCGCTGCCAGCC